ACTAATAATGATGTGGGTAATTTCTGTTATGCTTAACACTTTACTAGATAATTGTGTTGTAGTTTAATGAATTTTACATCAGACTGTAGTCAAGTCCAGACATATTAATTCAAACTTAATTACCTTTACAACAAACTAACAGGATGGAAATGAAGACCTGTTAGCCATCGAGTAGTGTGGGATATAGAGGTAGCTTATGAGGGTGTCAACTTAACTTTCATAACTGATGTTTTGAATGTTTTAGAGACAACCCAGTTAATACCACAAAACATCACAGAATCCATTAAATCCATTGCTAAAATATATTGATGTTCGTGCTGTTGATTTCCCACCAAAATGGTGATGCCACTTCCTGGAGGATGATGTCATTGTAAATTTCAGGGATTTTACAAAAGACTAACAGGATGGAAAGTGAAGGACACAGAAAAGTTCAGTGAAATGATTACCAATTAATACAAGAGCCTATTCATAAGATACAAAACAAGGAACACCTAGAATTTTAGATTTCTGTGCTTAGAAGTCATTGGAGAGCAACATCTGCTCAAACCAGCACTACAATTATTTAGCATTCTCCCCTATGGTCGCTTAATTGAAAAGCTGTCAAAAGAAAATAACATGATTTTCATATATATAAACTGTTAATAGAGATTCTATCCAGTATCAGGCAGTGCAATATGTATGGTCATATTATTCAGAACGGAAGATCAAATTCATACGTTCATTAGCATAAGAATGCATTACAAATGTATTAAGAAACACTTTTTTTCTTTTAATTCTCTTTGGTGGTCGTGCTGCTCACCCGCGTCCCTACCTCTAGATGAAGACTCCATAATAGTATCCCATTCATTGCGTGCGTACTCAGTCGACAGCTCTCTGCGTACCGTCTGAATTCTGTCCGGATCGGACTTTACGCCGTTCCCGGTTTTGGACGAGTTTCTACGAGCAGCGGCTGACATCCCGTCAAGAGTTCCGAGCGGAGAAGCGAATGGCTGCGCGCTCTCGATCACGCGCTCATCGCACTGTCACCAAATAAAAGCGCACAGGTGGCGGAACTGATTTTAAGAGCGTATGTTACATCATTACAAGACTGCATTGACTCCTGGCTTTAATGGTGAAGGCGAAAAGACAATTAACGCCTAGAACAACGTGGTCTTGCGAACAGGCAACAGGTCCAGCTCTGCACCCCTGTCAGAGGGAGCGCGTGTTTGTGATTTTGACACCAGTAAGCATTTTTGTTTTTAAAAATAAATAACCTTGGAAAAAAGCTTGGCACGCAAGGTTTCAGCAAAAGTTAATAATCACACGGAGTGAGTAAAGAAGTAAAGAATCGCTGGTGGTCTGTATTATAAGTGTAAACTTAGTAGGTGTGTCTCTGTGTATTTGGGTGAACTCAGAAAACTTAAGAGGAAGAGTGTCAGCATTTCCTCTTCCTCTCTGGTTGCCTAAAGGAAAGTGGAGTTTTAAAGGGGTCATATGATGCGATTTCAAGTTTTCCTTTCTCTTTGGAGTGTTACAAGCTGCATAGATAAGATCCCTGAAGTTGCAAAGACTAAAGCCTCAAAACCAAAGAGATATTCTTTATCAAAGTTAAGACTCTGCCACGCCCCCCTAAAACGGCTCGTTCTAACACACCCCCACATATCTACCTCACTATGTGAAAATATTTGCATAATGCCGCCCAAATGTGCACGCAAAGAAAGAAGGCATGGTTTCAGTAACCGCAGTTAGTGTTGAAGCAGCCATGTCACGGAGACGGCTGTGTGTTTCTAGGCGAAAGCAAAAGCACTATATTTGGCCTTCCGAAAGTAGATGCAATTAGGAATCTTTAAGATCACTTACAACAGAACAGCAATGCATTTTATGGACGACCGTTTCATGAACCTAGGAGAGGAGATAATTCTGACTTTGCTATGACAATCTGGCGCTTCTGAATCAGCTACTGTAAGTATGTTTTGTTATAGTTTAAGTATGTGCTATTGACTGTTCAAATGCGGAGTTTTGCACATCGTGTGTGTGTGTGTGTGTGTGTGCGCACGCGCGAGAGAGAGAGAGAGAGAGAGAGAG